GTATAGACAGACGTTGTACATTCTCCCTTTTCAAAGGTTCTACGAAAGTCAGGCGATTCTGTTCTCCGACAAGTCCAGGTAATGAGGACTGTAGGTTAGAATGGACTCCTTCGACACATTTAGCAAAGTTGCCAACAGACTCCACTTCTAACAAAGGAAAGGCAAATGCAATTAATGAAAACTCATGGCAAATGATCACATCCGGTTATTTCCCACGTTCAATACAGACATGTTCGTCAAATGCAGAACACGACTTTTAACTCGGAGAAGCACCCTATTCCTTATAAGCAGACTATCAAGGCGAAATTGAGATGGCCGATAACACAATCAATCCTTGTTAATCGCCTGCATCGTTCACATAACGAGTTTGATAAAAGATCCTTGCCGCACACTACACGCTCAGAACATGCTTACCGAAGCACAACTTCTCCATACTGCGCGAAGTTATTAAGAAATGACATGTTTGTGTAGTCAAACAAAGAAAAATATATATTCAGAGAAGCACAGAAAAAAAAACAAAACAGCAGCAAAGGAGAAATTGTATTTAAGTAGTTTTTAAGGAAAATAATAATGCAGCAACAAAAAATCATAGGCTTCATACACAAATGTTTATGTACTTTTTGTTGTGTTGTCAAATTCGAATAAAGCATTTTTAGCGCACTGTTTGAGCCTTCTAAAATTCTGCCTTTAAGGCGCAATAACCCTTAACGTTGGTCTTATATCTACTTGGAGCAAAAATAACCTGATATATATCTCCCTCTCATTCTTCTTTTCACTTAGGTATGCGCTTACATGATTTTTTACCTATCTGCCTATCGTTTCTGTGTTAGTCAAGTAGTTTTAAAAGGTATACATTTTAAGTCGCGCTACCGTAAGGAAGGATAGGCAGACTCTCCTCTGGACACCAGTGGTCTAAATGTGAACGATGCATGTGTGTACCAGTTTATGGGGCCAAAGGAGCAGAGTGGACCCACTCGCTGGCAAATTGCGCGTACCTAGATCTGCCTACCTATCATTACATGTTCCCGTCCCCATCTAACCAAATTGAGCATGTTACTGTTGAATGCCAAATGTGGTGAAGTTTCCACTGATCATGCTATTGCCACGATCACGTTCAATTGGAGATGAATGGTTTGGGACGTGATCACAAATCTTCACTTTCTTATGCAGAGTATGTACAGTCACATAGCTTTTTGGGAGGGATTATAATGCAGACTGTCATCGAAATAATATTTTAATTTAAAGTGTAAATTGAATTTAAATTCTTGGATACTAATGCCATGCGCACCGCAAGAAA